CACAGGATTCAACCCAAATACATTTCTTATTATAGGAATCTAATATTTTAATCTGCATTAAAATAGAAGAAGTTATGCACCAAAAAATTATGCATTATAATTTACATAATGTCCTTTCATACATACATACATACCAATCTCTTAGCATCCTTCACTCTCTGTTTAGCTGCTTCAGTTGTAAACATACTATCATATATTGTTACAACACGATCTACCATATCCAACACCAACAGATACCAATGTGAATTATGGTAGTTTATTGTGATCATGATCTGCAACAAATTTCACACCCAATTTGACAAAATTCAACATTCTATATCCGAAAACATCATTTGCAATTGGTATGGTGTCTTACCTTCTCACAGTCGGTGAATTTCACATAGTTATCCAATATGAGACCCCAGAAGGTAGAAATACTCTCAACACTTTCTTTGTTGTTGGCATCCAACGCCTGTTGCTGTAATTACGCAACAAACATTATTAATTTACCGTCTATAACACTACTTTTCAATATTTATTAATTTAACTCACCGCTAAGAGGTATGGAAGGTAGCCAATCCTCCGGAGTGACTTTTGAGAATCGTAGCATATGGTCCAGGCGAGCAAATCGATAACCTAACAAAATTAATTACACAATCAGAACATATTCAATAAGTTTTAACATTTTCTACTTTCTACTTACCACACCGCCAACCCATTCTGTAGGCTTCAACGTTGCAACGTCGTATACAGTAGCGAATTGATTTCCCATTGAGATTACAGAATATCTGTATGAATCATTAGGATTAATATGTTGTCATGAAATATTTAAATATCACTCACAAAACAATATATTTCACTTACTCCGATTCTAACTCGCTATTCCATAAATAATCACAAATTGCAGCTTCGATGTCATCAATTCCGCTTGGAATATCCGCTTTTTCAACCTACAATTTTGCATACAAATTTTTGTCACAACAACATAATAAAAATCAAATTAAGTTTTCTTTTATTCAACTTACCTTCTGCTTCTTCTTCTGGGGTGCAGGACATTCCGAATCCAAATCTGCTGCTATAACACTCTCCGGTGTATAAATGACATTGACTTCCTTCCTCCTCACTTCTTCTATCTCTTCTTCTTCCTCCTCCCTCTTTTCTTCTTCATATTTTTTCAGTTCATCGTATTTTTTTTCTACATAGCTCTTCATCTCGTTTATTTCACCCTTCAATTGATCTCCTTCATCCAAGTATTTATCAACCACCCTCTTCACCCCCGTAAGTTCACTCCTCAATTCCACAACCTCCTTCACCACTCCCTCAAATTTTTCACCCGTCACCATCTTAATATCACCCCTTAACACCCCAACTTCTTTCACCACTTCACCCCTCAACACCTCTACTTCTTTCACCACTCCATCTATTTTTCCTTCCACTACCCCCTTATGCCTCTCAAATGTATCTTCGACTCTCTCAAGTTTCTCTTCGACTCTTGATTGTCTTTTCATAATTTCAAATTGGATTTTTTTGATATCAGCCAATTCAGACATCAAAATGTCGAAGTTACTACGTTTTCCCTCACCGTCGTCCCACTCACCGTCATCCCCCAATACAACCATCCCTCCTTTCTTCTCCTCTGCCTCCACTGCCTCCTCTACATCCTTGCCAATAACCTTCAAAATTAAATTACAATATTAAGACATTGATTATATTCTTAATATTATTTAATTACATTTATTACCCTTTCTTGCTTCTTCGCTCTTTCCAACTTCAACTTCACCATCACTCTAACCACCTCTTCCTTCCCCCATGCACGGATGCGTGCCACTCCGGTTCTTTCATAAGCCGGCACTGCCTCACAGCCCGACCAAAAATCGAACAGTGTAACCTGCATTTATAATAAAATTTATATTTTTATATAAAAACACAAAAAAGTTCTTCAACTCATTTACCTCTAAGATTGCTATGCACCCTTTGAGGTATCTCTGGCTGCCCTTTTTAAAGTTGATTATTGATTCAATCAATCTTGAATGGATATATTCAGCCCAATTGAATTCACCCTTCAAGCCTTCATCACAAATGAACTTCATATGTTCTTTGTTCGTTGACGTATTACCCGTTGGACAAAGAAAGATACCGACAAGGTATAATAGAACTCTGGCCTTCAGCTCATCCCCAACGTAAGATCCACTTTTTATTTCCTCTTCAATTTCAGCATATGTCACCTTATGCTTCAAACCATATTTGGAGGCAAGTGCTTTCCAGTCCTTACTCTGACAGACTTCTACAACACTTTTACCTTCATTTTCTACCCCCAATACGGCTGCAGCACATGGGATCCCGAGAGGAAATGAAAAATCACCATATTTAGCAACACATTGCCTGACATCAAATTGCGCCATCAAGGATCGACACAATTCCCTCCGAATAGGTCGATCCCTTACTCCTACCAACGATCCAAAACCTATTTCTCCCAGCACATTCAACTGACCCTTCTCCTTAAGGTGTTTAATTAATAAATTCACCCTTTTAATGTTGCATCTTGTCGACACTTCCTACATTTTTTAACAATATATAATGTTATAGTTCTTATATATTTTGTATCAACGTATTTACAAGTTTAATGAATACCTTATTTTCATGTGCTTTCCTCCGTTCTTTGTATTATTTACTATCATTCCTTGACTGTGTGATGTAAGGTTCCTTTTCAGCATCACTCATTGAATTCCATTTGGACCTCACATCTTTTGTCACCTAATATAAAACATAAACGTTTCTTAATCAATACATTAACACTAAATACTACTCAATGTCAATTTCATTTTACATACCGAACCGCTCTGTGTGCCATCTTCCTTCATCCTTTTGCATTCGGCCATACTGTCAACATTTAAAATTTGTAATCAATTTAAAGTTTATCGATACTTTAATCCAATTACCATTTCAACAATAATAACAAAAAGACATTGATACTTACTAGAAGTACATATATCCACCCTTGGGTTGCTTTCGAGTCTCGGCCTCAATTTCAAAGTCATCTGCTCCACCAACAATTTTCCAACCCATTGACTCCATTTTTCCTTCATATATCAGTTTACGCAAATCAAATTATTTTGTTACATACACTTTATTCAATATACAAATATAGATAACTACTCTTGTGGTAAAACGGTTTTCTTCAAAAGAATTTGAATGGCCACACCAAAATGTGTCGGCACATTTATACAACTTATAATATCATTTTCTACCTATAATATTTAATAAAAGTATCGACATTTATATTTTTCCTTGAATATCACTTTCTACCTGCAATCGTTCCCAAATGCTTCTTTACTCCAAAACCCCAAACAACACATAAAAACCCTATCTGTAATAATAAAAAAATAGGGTTTCGACAACATACTTTTCGATTAGACTGCAGCAACAAACAAACAAACTTCGCTTTAGAAACGCCTTCTGAAATGCAGCAACAATTACGCTTCGCTTTCAAAAACTCGTCCGTTCTATCTATTTTCAGAGGAGATTTAGCTTATATTTTGATCGGATATGTTATTTATATTTAATCGATACAAATACAAAAGTGTCGATACTTTTATGTCAGGTGTTGATACTTTCGAAAGGATAATTACCTATTTCTTTGAAAGTGTCGATAATTTATTACACGTACTTACGAAAGTATCGACATTTTCAATATATCCGGTATCATTTTACCGGTTTTATCATTTTGATACCGGTTTTATCATATTTTTACCTGTTATATCGTTGTGTATCGATATATATTTTTAAAGTATCGACACATTATAAGCGCTAAAACTGCTTCTCTTTTAAATTCATAAAGTGTCGATCCTTATATAAAGTATCGACACTTTCAATATATCCGGTAACGTTTTACCGGTTTTATCATTTTGTTACCGGTTTTATCATATTTTTACCTGGTATATCGTTTTAATATTTCTTCATGACTTAGACCTACTTTTATACGTATGGACACTTTTATAAAAATGATATATACTTTTTTTAAAGTTATGTAATTTATGTTTCAATTTTTTTAATAGTGTTTCATGTTTTCCACCTACAATATTAATTTAATAATTTCATTTACACAAAAAATTATTTGATTTTTTGATATTTTATAAAATATTATTTAGAATTTAAATTTAACAATATTAACCAAATATAATAATAAATATGTTTTCCACATTGAAATAAGTATGGACACTTTTATAAAAATGATATATACTTTTTTTAAAGTTATGTAATTTATGTTTCAATTTTTTTTAATAGTGTTTCATGTTTTCCACCTACAATATTAATTTAATAATTTCATTTACACAAAAAATTATTTGATTATTTGATATTTTATAAAATATTATTTAGAATTTAAATTTAACAATATTAACCAAAGATAATAATAAATATGTTTTCCACAGTGAAATAAGTATGGACACTTTTATAAAAATGATATATACTTTTTTTAAAGTTATGTAATTTATGTTTCAATTTTTTTTAATAGTGTTTCATATTTTCCACCTACAATATTAATTTAATAATTTCATTTACACACAAAATTATTTGATTTTTTGATATTTTATAAAATATTATTTAGAATTTAAATTTAATAATATTAACCAAAGATAATAATAAATATATTTTCACAGTGAAATAAGTATGGACACTTTTATAAAAATGATAGATACTTTACAATATAACAAGGAAAAATATGACAAAACCAGATTCATTATGACAAAACCGGTCAAATTTACTTGATATGTTAAAAGTATGGACACTTTTATAAAAAAGATAGATACTTACCGATAACCAAAGTTTACCGGTTACCAAATTTTTTAATAGTTTTTTATATTTTCTACCTAAAACATTATTAGTTGTCAACATAATAGGTACCGCTAAACCGAATTTATTAAATACATTTTAATGTATTCAGTACTGCCGTATATTAGCCGTATATTAACCCGCCTTTCCTGAGACATTCCCAAAAAGTACCAATACTTTCGTCAACGTAAAGATGATAATCTGTGGATGGTGTACACATAAATGTTTTCCTAACAACTGCAAACTCCTTACCCTTGAAAGAAAAGAAGGAAATTTGCATTAAAAGATACTCTGATTTTCTCTCATGCCAAACATGATCTTTTCATGCCACATTCTTTCCGTGTCTTCCCTTTTTTCTTGATTTTTAATAAAATGGTTAGCGATATAAGGGGTTTGCGGTGGCGGCAGAAAGATAGCCATTAGCATGAACATGAAGAGGCAGAGTCATTCACTCTTAACAGCTCGGTAAATGTATCGAACGAACATCAGGGAAGAACGGAAGCCTACTGTGCCAAGCATCAAGAAAAATGCATAGCACACGCAGGCATTGTAGGCGATGACGAATGAAAATTGCAATAAGCCAGTCATGCTTGACCTCGCGTAGAAGTAGATACAATAAGCAAACATAAAAACAGAGGTTGAACCCCCACACAACACAGATCTGCATCAAGCAAAAACATCCCAAGTGTTCAAAATGTTATGACAATGCAGGGGGAATTAGGATAAACAAAGCATTACTTAGAACAATAAACGGCATTATTTGTTATTCATAGAACCCTCTTATCTTTTGGACCCAAGGTTTCCGTGATTTGGAGGATCCTTAGAAAATCATATTATCAGACCCATGTTAGAGTATGTCTTGGAAACGGGTATTTCGGGAAAGCTTGAAGTGTCAGAGTGACATAGGTCCTAAATATGTGAAGGTAGGCAGCAACCAAAAATTGCATATCAACATCTTGTTCTGTGAGATTTCATATTACCATGAAGGTTCTTACATATACATACCAACTTTAATTTATGTGCCCATGGTTCATTGTGCATATTCATGAACATTAACATCCATGTATATAAAATTGCAAGGGAACATACCTCCACCACCATTGATGATCTTCCATGGATAGCTGAATATACGTCAAGCCAACACTTAACATCGCAGTGAGCAGGATGAGGATGATGAAAATGATAAACAAAATGCTGGGAAGAGTGAATATCCGGTACCCCCACAAGCTTGCATATAAATGCTGTAACTCAAGGACAATAGCACTAAAAGGTAAGAAACCCCCAAGAAACATCTGACAAGGAGTTTTCCGGTACCAAGCCAATGGAGGAATCTCCCTCGGGTATCTTTTTGTAGCACAAGGTGACTGAAATTCAGACCTAAAGAGGTATCCAATCACCCCACCCAACACAAGCAATGGAATGGTGAGAAAAATGTATATGAAAATAATAACCATGATGGTGCTGAAAGGGAGTGCAGATGTTGCCCCATAAGATACAGAAACCACATTAAGGATGGAACCTATCACAAACAGGGGACCAGCATACATGATTCCAGCCAGAAGGACACTCCTTTCCTGAAAATTGACTCTCTTTTATTTAACAAACAAGCAAAAGGTTCCTTCAGTGTGTGTGACATTAAATTAAATTAAAAACATTACCCAACCAGTTTCAGCAAACTGACAGTGGAAGGACGCTGTAGTGTAACCAGCAACTACAGATGTCAGAGAATATAAAATGACAAGCGCAGTGCTAAGTGTTCCACGATTGTACGGAAAGAGGATACCAAGACATACCAACACAAATAGGCAGAAGACTCTGAAAGGAAACACAATAGTGTTAAGAAGAAATCTTAAATTTTCATATTGAGAGTAAGTAACCATAGCATAAAACCAAGAAAATCAAGAAAAAGAGAGCTTTTGAATCTAATTTGATTTGAAAACAACATCCTACAATGGAAATTATTTTGAAGTATCATAAATATGTAATACTGACTCCGTAGTGAATGCGCCCAATATGAAAGCATAAATAAGTTGTTGAAACAGAAGGCAACCGGAAAAAATAATGCAAAGGAGGAAAAATAAGAATATGAAGTTGAACAAGGTTAAGTTTAATTATGCCATTAACGAGCAAAAGGCAGTTGATTCCCATGCATGTATCAATTATCATACCATTAGTATGCCATTAACCAACTGCCAACCCCAAGAAGTGGAGAAGACTTTGTTTATTATTCTTGTTGTGCTTATCAGATGTAGGCTAGTAATTAGTAAATCAGAACAAGATATCAAATATATACGAGAAAAATAGTGAGTAGCTTACATGGTTAAAAGTTGAGTACCCATGCCTATGACAGCACAAAACAAGGACTTATTTCGAGGATACCTAAATACATCACCGTGAATATATTTCCAACCAACCTCCTTGTCTTCTTCTCCATCTCCACTTGAAAACCTGCTATTCGTGCATTGAACCTTAGTCTCAAAGCATAAAAAAGAAATACTATAGGTTTGAAACAAGTTGACTGGGTCAACAATAACATAAGGCAAATTACGTTCTCAAGTCATTCTTCAAACGCCGCATGAAAAGCAAGGCAAGTAATCCCATCAATAGCATAATAGTGATAAATGAGTTGATGAACGAAAACCAATGAATTTTCTGGTGGACTGGGAGGGATGAAGCCTTTGAATATCTATCCATTCTGGTATCAAAGGCAGCTGACGTTGTATTCCAGGTAACTGAATAAGTGAACTCAACATCAATCACAGCATCTTTTGTAATATTAACAACCTGATTTGGATCACCAATTGTATGTACTTCAATAACTTGGTTTCCATTATAAAGCACGTCAAACTGTACGTGTTTGAACAGAAAATACTTGGGTGACTTGTCCTCAAGTGTCCAACTGTTATCTTCAATTTTCCCAACAAACCCCCAAAATGGTAGATCATCATAGTACATCTGAAAGTAAAAATCATTAATGACAGCATCTCTAAATTTTGCAACATCATCTCCTTCAAGCTTTTTGTGACACAATGTCTTTGCAACTTTGTTCTCCCGGAAGTTCAACTTATATAGAGCATCAGTCAAACGATCACCGCTCAGAACTTCCCCAAGGGACTCCTCCTTTTGTATTACAGGATCTGCAAGCCGCAAAGTGCAAACTTACTAGTACAACTTCGAACTCCAGAAGCCCAAAAATTGGGAGAAATGAAACCTCAGTCCTACCGTTTAACTTTTGGCAAAGAAAAAAACAATAAAAGAAAACAGAAGAGACAGAGGCGGAGGCGGAGGCATAGAAAAAGAACATTAAAATGATACTATTGTAAGCTCCAAAATGTAACTATAAGATCCCAGAGACAAGAATCTAGAGAGACTTGGTTCAAAAGCTTCATCCCCGGTAAATGTAGGATAATTTTATTTTCAGCAATTTTGAATATTATAACTGTAAATTTAACTGAATGTTAACAAACACTAATTTCAGTAAAAGTTTACACATACATAGTTGGGAAAATTTTCACCATGCATAATCAAACTTAAGAAGAAGTATTCTGATGATTGTTGCTAACCTGGACGGCAGAATGGCAATTCATAGTATTGGTAAGTCTCACTGCAATACAATAACAGTTTTGGGGTAAAAAATAAGGGCAGAAGGACATAGTAGCCAGAAAGGAAATGGAAATTGACAGTTCAAGGAAAAAGGTAACCTCGAACCATAATCGTTCATCTCTCTCCCAAGGCAGTATGCTCTAAGGAGTCACTCTAGTAAAAGTTCTAGTTCTACCCAGGAGAAGTTATAAGATAACCAATCTAACGACAGTGCGGCTAAGTGCATAAGTTCAACATTCTCGTTGCATCAGTAAACTTTCAATTATCGGTCTTGTGTTCTTCAAAATGATCATGTATTTAGTTACTTTAACCATTAAATCCCTAAAATCCCTTAAAAGGGATTTGAATTGATATCTCAATAACCAAAACACCAAGAAGACTCGAGCTTTTCAGTATCGACCAGCAACTAACATAAATAACAGGGTCGTTGCCTCATTATAGTTCAGATCCATCCTTCAACATCCTTGTACAAGGTAACTACCACACTTTCATGACCCAAAATTCTTTTACAGGCAGTTGACTTAACAAAATGAAAATCAAACGCTAACTCATCAAAATACATTGATTCCCACATCAGTTTAAACAATGCGCATTTCTTAGAAAGACGTAACAAACTAAGTTTACAAGTAAAAAACAAACATTGAAACTTAAAGTTGAGTTTTCATTGTTCTGGGTACCTGGGATTGTTGAGGGGACCAACTTTGTTGACAAATAAAGGGACGTGATCTCCTACATTATAGCGGTGATTGTCTGGTGATGATGCAATGGATCGTAGATTTGTTAACAGCAGTAATCTAATTATTAGACTGCGTTTAAAAGCTACCGTTTTACTCATTTCTTCCCAAAGCTGAAGACTTCAGTGCCAGAGCCGAGAATGGAACGGAAGCTGTCGGAACTGAAAGACTTCCGATTCGTTGTTTATTGCCAATTTAAACGCATCGTTTTGCTTATAGTGAGTTGCGTTTAGTACTATTAAATGCTAAATGTAAATTACTTGTTTTTCTTTTTAGAACTGATATATAAATTGATAAGTGAAGTTGATATATATTTTTTATTAAATTTTATTATAAAATATATAGTATTATTATATTTTGGTAAAAGGTACTCGAAACCCTCCACTTTTTTCTTAAAAAAATTAATATGGCCCTCCACTTTTTTTACTTAATGTGGCCCTCTAACGTAGAAAAAAATACTCAATATGTTTTTTTGATCAACGTTTTCCATCGTTGATCGACGTGCCGTTATTTTATGCTGACGATATTTTTTTCTCTCTCAATATGATTCTCTAACTCAAGAAAATAACTCAATCTGACCCAAATATTTTTAAACCAAATATTTTTTTTCTTTATTTACCATATTCAGTGAACCCAGATTGAACTTGTAAAAATTTGAAAAAACTGGGGATGAGTTACTTGATTGGGTAATGAAAAAAGAAGAAGAAATTTTTGGTTGAAAAGGAAGAAAAATGAAATTAGAGGATAAAGAAAGAGAGTGGAGATTTGGAAATATATAAATAAGAGGGAATATTTTTTAATTTAAGTGTAAAGTATAAAAATAGTTCATGAACTTTTAAGATGTTTGCATTTTGGTCACCCAACTTTTGAAACTTGCAATACAGTCATCAAACTTTTAGTTCGTTTTCAAAAATGTCTTTGTTGTTAACTCCTGTTAGTTTTTGCTGATGTGGCACTTAACTCCCGTTAACTCCCCCACCCATCTTCTTCTTCTGCATTTGTCTTTTACCCTCCCATTCACCTTCTTCTTATTCTTCTTCTCATTCTTTCTTCTTTTGTCTTTTACCCATAACTCTTCTTCTTATTTCCATCTTTTTTCAATGCGAAAATTCAAAATTGTCATGCCTAATCCGAATTTGAAACAATAGAAACCTTTCAAACATATGCCTAATGCAAAATTCAAAACTATAGAAACCATTCTAACAGAAACCCAATTAGCTAATTTCTAAGAACCTCCATTACACAATCCAATAAAATCAGCACTGCTCGTTAAGCAAATCAAAAAAACAAGTTCAGCCATTGCATACACATATACATGATGACATGATCAATGATATAAACAAAGTATAATTGTTTAAATACCATCAAAAGCCATAGGTTTATGTCAACAACGAAGCAATAACAAAGTAAACACAAAAACGGATGAAAACATACCCAAAAAGAAACTTGGAGGCAAAAGGGGTCCCAACAACAACGATAACAACGGCCGATGCGGTGACGATGGGGCTGAGAAGTACCCTGTAGAGTAGAAGATTTGTGGATAGTAAAAGCTGGTTTTTTTATTGTATAGATCTAGTAATATTGTTATTCTCGTCATCGTTAATCCTCAATATGCAGCTGAAAACAACAAATGAAATAGACCCACCATTTTGGTTTACATCAATACGATGACAATGATCATCTCATATTATTACGCCTTTTGGTTTTCTCCAAGAAAGTTTGATCCTTTGATGGAGGTTTTAATTTGTGGGTAAAAGATAGAAGAAGAAAAAAAGGGGAGGGGAGGGTAAAAGACATAAGCAAAAGAAGGGGGTAGGGGAGTTGACAGGGTTAAATGCCATGTCAGTGAAAACTAACGGGAGTTAACGGCAGTGATCTTATTGAAAACAAACTAAAAGTTTGATGACTGTATTGAAAGTTTGATGATTGTATTACAAGTTTCAAAGGTTAGGTGACTAAAATGAAAATTCCCCTAAAAGTTCAGGGACTATTTATATACTTTGCCCTTAATTTAATTGTAATTTTGAGAATATTTTTTTCAATACATTTTTAAAATTTTAATTTAATTAATATTATTTTAATCATATATTAAAATAATAATAATAATAAATGTCACATCATACATAAATATTAATAAAATAAATCATGATGATTAAAACAGGAATAATTCAAAAGTTGAGTGATTAACTTAATTTTTTTTAAATTTAGTGACTAAAATAGAAGAGAGAAGATAATTGAGTGATGAATGGTATAATTTTCTCATTTATAACAACATCAAACAAAAGTATGAGGATCATATTGAATTATTTTCTTGACTTGAAAAGCAAAATTGAGAGAAAAAAAGGCCTCTCAACACAAAGTAACGACCCCGTAAGTTAACGGTAAATAACTTTGGTCCAAAGATCACATTGAATCTTCTTTTTATACTGAAAAACCTCGTAGAGTGAAAAAAGTAGAGGGTCATATACAGTTTACAATACCACCCGTCTAAGGTTTAGGCTGCGAGAGATACATGTCGAAACGTGGCGTTGAGTTTCTTTGCATGAGAACAGGTGTTTTGTTCTTGGGAAGACAGAACACCTTAGAGACTTGAAAGAATTCCATCTATGTCGATGTGTCGTTATATAGTGCAAGATTGTCGGTGTTAGAAAAATAGTCCCCCATTAAGGCTTTTTATGTTTTGAGCGAAAATCCTTACTAAAACTATAGTTTTCCCCCCCACAGAATTTGTATTGAAGATAATAGAGGAGGAAAATCATGAAGGTTTTGTAGCAGATTTGTTGTTTTTTGGGTCTCATAACGATAGTTCTAATGGCATACATAGGGTTTTAACCTCGTTTCTTTTAATTTGTGAAGCTTCATGAAACAAGGCCTCATGCTCATGGACATGGAACTGGTGATGAAGAGATCATCATGACAAGAAAGCAAAAGGCAGAGCAGTTGAAAAGTAATGAAGGAAAGGAATCTCCAAAGAAACCCAAAGTTGAGGATGGTAATGATCAGTAACAGGAAAAAGCTACATCTGATTTAGTTAACGAGTTTGAAGAGTTCTGTAAAGCTATCAGAGAGTTCTTATCTATTGCACAAATGAGGGAAATTCTTGAAGCCAATGGCCAGGATTCATCTGGATCTGATGCTTCAGTTTCCATCATATGGTTAGTCTATTTTTCATGCAAATAATTCATCAATGAAATCACCCAGAGCTTTAAAATCTTCTTTTTCTGTTGCCAGCCTTGATATGTTGTTCTATGGACTACTGGAGAAATGCCAAATCTGCAATGGTGATTTGGAGTTTGATGGCAACCGTTATTCTTGCAAGGGAACTTATAGCGAGTGGTCTTCTTGTGTGTACAAAACAAGAAGTCCAGCAAGGAAGCAAGAACCGCCCAAATTGCCTGATTCTGCCATGAATTCTCCCGTTGCTGATGTATTTTTTCGCTTTATAATCTCATTGATTTTATTTCAGTGAAGTTCACTAAGCTCTACCATTTCTTCTTCCTATAGTTGCTGAAGAAGTACGAGGATCCAAGTGTCCGGCCTTACCGGTAAGTAGGAGTCACCGACAAACCTTTCTTAGGAATGATGATTTCCCTGGCGGGCCGCCTTAGTCGTACACATGTATGTGAAAATGTTTCAGTTTAGATATTGCTGAACCTTTAAATCTTTGTTCTCTGACTGAAAAGGCTGAAACCCTTCACGTTGCAACTCTTCTAATGCAGCAACTCTGGAAATCCAAGATCGAAAAACATGGGGGGAAGTCTCCAACTCGGTCATTGGTAATTGTTTTACCCATTGCAAAAGGTCCTACTTTTATGACGCCTTTATGTTCTCTTGTTTATTGCTTTGATAAAACTCTGGGGGCGGGCATAACTTGCTTGGTTGCTCCTCCCTCGGAACAAGAGAGCGCGGCGGCTCATCGAAACTGATAGAAGCAGTGTGAGTATATGTGTGGGAAACATTGTGCCATTGAAAAGGTTTTAGCGTTTGAAAGTCTTAGATGAATAACCATGGATGGAAAATTTCAGGGAAAGAGGGGTACGAGTTGTGAGTGAAACTTGGTACTCGACAGCATTGAGAAACAAGGAGTACAGCCGTTAGAAGCTTATGACATAGTTACAGATCTCTCTGTTGATGGCAAAGGAATTCCATGGGATAAACAAGTTTCTGATGAATCAGCACTTGAATCATTTTCAGCAGAAGTATGCCATTTCACCTCATTGCTAGCAGCTCAAGCTATATGGAAAAAGAGAAGTCTACAAGGATACCAGATTGCAAGAGTAAGGAGGTCAAATTTTTGAGAAAGATGGTATATTATACAACTGTGCCTTTTCACTCTGCGACCAAGGACGATCCCTTAATGAGTAATGCAGCGTGTTCTTTTATTGATTCTATATTGATACTACTGTAGCTCTATTGCAGCTACTGATTTCCAAGCTTCATTTGTATAGGTATTGTATTATGCAACTTATCAAGGTACCAGACGGTAACCTCCACTTGTACTACAAGAAAGGGAGAGTAGGTGATGATCCAAATGCTCAGGAGAAGCTCGAAGAATGGAAGGACCTTGACGGTGCCGTGAAGGAGTTTGTTAGGCTCTTTGAGGAGGTAACAGGCAATGAGTTTGAGCCATGGGAAAGGGAGAAGAAGTTTCAGAAGAAGCCACTGAAATTTTATCCTATAGACATGGTAAAAATCACTTCTTTCTCTGGTTCTAACTATATTTATTGAATTTTTTATTTTCATATGATATTTATTCTAATTGATTTCCTTGTATCCATAAGGATGATAGAGTGGACGCGAGATGTGGACGACTCTGCCTTCGGCAGCTAGGTGTTGCAGCAGCACATTGTAAACTTGAACCAATGGTTGCAAATTTCATGAAGGTTCTTTGCAGTCGGGAGATTTACAAGTATGCTTCTTTCAAACATGGCCATTAATCAATTCTCTTTCCGGATATCAGATTTAACCAGTCGATTTCTTCACTGGACAGGTATGCACTGATGGAGATGGATTTAGATGCCCCTGATTTACCAATGGGGATGCTCTCTGAAGTTCATTTGAAAAAAATGTAAGAACCCATTCTCACCCTTCTAGTTAACCTTTTCCTCTTTTATTTATTCCCATATCTATAATATCATGAATTTAACCAG